GTTTTAAATCTAAAAATTATATTCTGAAAATTCGTTATATATTTTATGCATTTTTGTAGCATACTTTTTAGAGTACAATTCCCCGCTAGTTAAATGTACAAAATGAGTTGACTAAAAAGAGATTAAAACTCTCATACTGCTGTTAAGATACTAAATTATGATTGTACAGGCACTTAATGCACTTAATAATAAAAAACTAAGAAGAGACCCGAACTGAGAGCTCAGATTGTTTTGCTTTATAACAAGACCGTGAACCACTGTGCACCTGAAGTCGTCCCTTTATCCCGTTGTGCCCCATCCAGGAGTTAAAGTCGGAGGCATCGCAAACATTTCACGCATATGATTTATTTTTTTCGTTTGCGAGTAAAAAATTTACAATTTCCGCTGCGTTTACCCCAACGAGACCATTTCGCGAGCACGCACGTGTGCGTGTGTGTGTGTGTGTGTGCGTGCGTGTGTGTGTGTATCTGTAAGTGAATGCTCATGCTCACCCACTCAGCGACCCACTGACTAATGTGGCCACATATGCCGCACATCCTCGTTGCGGACCGAGGAGCGTGAAGAAGAGTGGGCGGAGCCAGAGGGTTGCGTCGTGATTCCTTTTTGCGGCGCTTTGTTCCCTCCTTTTGACTAATGAGGTTGCCGCTCCATTTGTTGATTGCCGCAATCGTGATATGCCACGCTCCAATCCCTTCACACGGCCAACACATGTTGCCTTCTGCATCCTCTCGACGATGTTTACAAATTTTTCCTTTCTTTTCTTGTCACAAATATATTCAAAAAATTCGCATCGTTTTCAGAACGTGCTCAACGACAGCGTAAAATGGCGCTTCTTGGATTTGTATTCTACATGCCATATATTGTTTGGATATAATCCTTTCAATATCCTTGAAGAGGGCATGACAATTTCGTGAGGAGCTTAGCGCTGAGTATGAGACAGCTCCAGCATATATAGGATATATAGTCTTGATCGATATTAACAGCCGAGCTTCAATATTATTATCACACTTCTGAGCCAGGCTATTCAATTTTCAGAATGTCAAAGATAGGCGCTCTTTCTTCTTATACCTCTATATGACATCTGAACAACATCTTCCTTTTTCTGGCAGTTGGTAGTAGCCATAAAGCAGATGCCAAACCAAGCCCCAAGTAATTGGATGCCATTTTTCTGTCAAAAGCGAAAAGTTCTTGAACTATTCTGATATTAAGACAAGAGAATAGGGGAACGCAGCTCTGGTTAGCTCAAAGATCTACCAGAATTTCATGACCTCAACGAGCTGGGTGGAGGAGGACATGAGTTGGCAAAATATGTACCTGCTGTCGTAACGCTTTGTAGTCATCATGTTTCCAGCTGATTCTAATCAGAGCTGCTAAACTTTTGCCATTAATTGGGTTAATAGTGTGCGCCCGCAGTGGAATACCTTAGTTGACTTTACTTGAGGTTTAAAACAAAACAAGTTCCCCCACCCCAAAGCAGCTCGGCTGGTAGGGTCGTCTTGTCAGGGGTCGGCAGCCAGTGGCTGACGGGATATCCCCTTCCTAATTGCGCACGTCTGAGGAAATCGCATGACTTTTCGCGAACATGCCACCAGCGCAGCAAGCACAACAAAAGACAAGGCAGGAACAGCGGCATCGGCAGCGGCACTGGCAACAACAACGTCAGCGGCATGCAACATCAATTTGTGCAACATGGGCGAAATTTCACGCATGCAACGGGGAGCAGCGTCGTCGTGCGAGACAAGCGCAGACAGAAAGTTTAATCAATGCTGACAGAAGACAATGCGATGGGCGGGATGGGTAGGGGAATGCTGCAACCAGCGGCAACTTGGGAGGGGAATCGCTTTTGACACAACGCAGAACGCGTTGCAGGAGCAGCCGCTTCAAGAATGATTACAGGGATGACGGGCTACGGATACGGCTAAGGCAAATCAAAATTGAATATCTTTCGCATGGAATTTCCGCTTATTTTAAATAAACTGCGGTAAAATATTCAAAGTATTCGAAATTTCAGGCAACTATTAGGGCAATGATACTTTTCACTCTGAATGAAATTATATGTTGATTAAATCAAGCATTAAGTTAAGAAAAATGCTTTAATAGGCCATTTTTTTATAATACATAAACTTTATTTCCATACGAAAGCTTGTAACTTCCGGTTCTAGATTCTTGCATCTTTCCATGCAAAAATTTGGTTTTGCTTGAATAACAAATAAGAGCTTAATTTTCTACCGAGCGTTCCCACATAAGCTTTATAACAAAGCTAGATACTCTAGCATCTATACGGTCAAGTCTCATTAGACAGCTAAGTTGAGAGAATAATAGCGCGGAAACATATGGACTTAAGTATATGGACTTGTAATTTCATAGAGATTAATAATGCATACAGAATTGTGTCTGAGCTGTTTTTCCATGTGTTTCGCATTTCGTAACAAATTAATAACATTTTTTGCTAGAGTTCACTCCGATTTCACAAAACATAATTGTGGCTCCTTTTTTAACAGCAAATATTTTGTAAAATACGAGTACATAAATATTTAATTTTATTTACTTCTATAAAATTTAAGAACATTTGTAAGCTTAATAAATGTGTGGCTGTGTTTTGATAGATGAAATCAAAAACTAATAACGTAAACTTCCAACTTATCGGTATTTGTTTCTTAATATCTGGGAACTATAGTTTCGATAGTACTACACATTTTTAATAGTAACGCTGCCTTGGTAATAAAATAAAGTCAAGCCATGTATCTTTGGAGACGAACAACTATTCTGTGCCCATATATGATAATAGAGTCCAACTGTTTAATATATATATATATATATAGTGCCTGCAGCAAGAAGAATATTTGTCAAGAAAGAAACGGAAAGGCCAGCAGATAGACGAGCAGTCATTGCAATGCCAATCCAGCTGGCCAAACTGATCCGGCACATGGTATATATAAATATGCTCTATAGAGGCAGGCTGTAAAAAATAGCCTTATCTAGTTAACTTATGCAGGCTCGCGGAATTCGCCGAGGCCGGCTCGCGGGCTGGTCTGGGAATTGTGTGTTCGTGTCATTAAAATGGTTACCTGCGTGTGTTTGGTAAAACAAACAGCCTGCATATTTGCTGGGTCTGTTCAGAGTTATAAAATCGTTTGGGAGAACAGACGCACGCAATTAAACGTGAAATTGCATTGTGAGAGCGGACGACAACGACGACGCTGAATAACAATAAATAAACAATTTTCCGGCACAATGGATGAAAGATACTCGCGTCGGGCTGTGGCAACTGTCGTAACTGTTTCTGCATTCCGGGCCCGGCAATTCACGCGGGTGACAAATTGACAATTTGTATTGCGGCGGGCAGGAAGACAAAAGTTGAATCCCATTGTTTGCCAGCGGCTCACAAAATATTTGCACAAATTATACAAAGGGGGAGGGAGAGATCGAGAAAAAGCTAAATGCCATACAAGACCACAGCGACTCGACTCGACGATATGTACAGCGGGGCCAATTGAATCAATCGAGCGTGGAACAACTGCACAATATACTCAGTTTTGCCAGAGGGGTCGCCAGCAATCGGCACTCGATCGACAGCTGACACAGATCCTGGCACATCCTCTCAGGCTGCGGCTGGCAGGCAGGCATGCGCCATATGACTCAATTGATGCCGTTCCCAGTGCTCCTTTGTCGGTTCATTTGCATGCTGAGCAGCTCGAGTACCTGAGCAGCCCGGGTCCTGGCCCATTCACAAATGAGCTCTGGCTGCGGCGCAGGCCCAGGCAGCTAACATCACTTCCTCTGACATATGAAACACGTTTCCGGCAACGCTCTGGCCTGGTTCCGGCCTGCAATAAACAAATCCTAGGCATGCGACCTTATGTGTGTGTGCGTGTGTGTGTGAATGCATTTCAGCTGTTCCCATTCAATATTGAAATATTTTTAGCACAAGTGCCGCGTGTGGGTGCGCAGCATGTTTTCCATTTTTCATGGAAAACCCAGCCGAAGCATGGGCCCAGCTAAAAGGATTGACTGACTCATGTTCGGTATCCTTTTGCAGTTTTTCAGCTGTTTCTCAGCAATTCGCAGCTGAATGTCGCCATTTAGCTGGCCTCTGCACGTGACCCAAACAGCTGCCGGCTGATGATTTATGTATCTAAAACAGAAACGGCATTGGGCATCCGATCCGAATCGACATTGGCATTCATAAAGGGGGTGGCTACCCATCAAAGATATTAATGCACGCATTGGCATTGCAATCGCTGAGATCGCTAATCGACTCGGCTTGGGCTGAACTCTAAAGCACAGAATTGGAATTATCACCAGCTAAATATAGCTCGATGTGTGATTTAGCTCGTTTCTTTATTGCCATTGTATTATTATAACCACGTGATTAAGCTATGTCCACTTTCTACTACTCTATATCTCTACTAGTCGACTATCTAAGCACATTAGTGAAGATATGAACCGATGATCTGCCCTTCTGTGCTGTCTGAGAGACACTTAGAAGCCACTTAGGCAGCTCATATTTCTATATAATCCAGATGAAACTCTTTGATTTCATACCAAATATCAAGTGCAGAAAGCCATGAGTCTATCGAATTTTTAACCACACTTAGGAATTAATTTTATGTAGGAACCATTTTAACATTTAACAGATTATATTATATCCTGTATTAAACTCACCCTCACCTCACAAAGCCTTTACAAGAGCACTGGGAACAAACTGTAAAATTATAATACACTTGTCATGGCCGAGAAGTCTGAAACCTTTTCTTCGACTATAACTGTTGAAATACTGAAAACCTTTAAGTGGATGCTACGCTTATAACCCTAACGGTAGCCATGTCTCCTTGACGAGTGCAACGAATCGATTTGAGTGAATTCCACGCTTCGACGACCGCAAAAGGAAAGAAATGAAGAAAAACCTCAGACCCTGACGAAATGCATTCCCTGCTTGAGGCCAACCCTTGGCAACGCAGTCCGGCTCGGTCCGTTTCGGCTTGGGTTTGGTTTTTTCCTTTTTTTTTTTTTAACTCGTACTCCCAACATTTTGACAAGTCAATTGTCATTATTATTGCCTTCAATTTCCGTTGGCCCTCGAGCAGCGCGACTCGAGCGCATTTCTATGCAAATTTTACACCTAGCCAACCCCCAACTCTGCCGAGCAGTCAACGTGAATTGGAGAAGCGGAAATTGCTTTATTACGTTGGGCGAATTCTAGTCCTTAGCGCCCATTGTCCCAGAGCACACAGTTGATGTGCTCGCCGAGCCTGTAGTAGCCAAAGGATAGTGCCACGATCAAAGCAAAGAAGCACAGGCGCAGCGGACCGAACAGTGCGTCCAGAAAGGGATAGATCCAGATGCCGGTCCAGTAATGCACCAGATGCATCCAAATCAGATAGCAGCCCATGACTGCAGCCAGTCCAGCGTATCCCTTGCCCCGGTTCGGGTAACAATGTGCTGTGGTGCAGAGCTCCAGCAGCGCATAGATCACCACATAGCAGTGCATGGTCCGGTTAAGCCACTTGGGATATACCTCATCGAGGAACGGCGGATAGATCGATACGCGATTTATGGCGCACAGCGTCCAGAAGGTCACACTCACCGTCAATGCTAGCGGCACCACCAAGCTGGCCAACAGATAGTCCCGCAATTGTCGCAGTGCACGCAGACGACACAAATCCTGTCCCAACGCTAGAAGATAGTATCCGGTCTGGAGCAATCCTGTGAGAAAGGTGAGGTACTTGAACTTTCCACCCATGGGTGGTTCCAGCCGCAGCTCCACGGCCAGCGCCGGCAGCTCCACATACATGTAGTCGTAGTACAGCGCATAGCCAAGATGCACACTGGCCGCCACATGAAGCACCAAACGGATATTGTGCGCATTAGCCAACCAAATACGTCGTTCCATTGGCACTTCAGCTCATTGTGAGCCTATTGCACAGAAGTCGTTGACAGCCGCATTGTTCCGCCACGTCATGCATTTGGTACGCTTTTAAGTTAAGCTTTGGTTAACTTAATTTAGTTTTCCTTCACTTTTACTTAGTTACTTGTCTACGAATCCAATTTGCAAATTCTTTCAAAGACTTGCCAGCTTGGCACATTTTTTTATATAGTCTCGGGTTTTTGATCCCATCCCATTTTCTATTCCTTGTAATCTAAGTTCTTCGCTGCCAAGTTGTAGGATTCGAATACCTGGTAGATTAGTTAAGTTAACCCATCTATTTATATGCACTGTGCCAAACGGGTAGATCATTATTATCTGTCCGAAAGGCAACACTATAATGTTTTGCTCGGCACTTAAGACTAGGTTCTCCTATATTTACATTATGTATTGTAAGTTTTTATAAAGCTTTAAATCTGAGTTTCGTCTGGTTAAAAACACTTAGAGCCACAGATGCACTGATTCTCTACGCCCAAATATATATAAATGCCAGTTCACATAGCGTCTCATTTGGGAATAATCGATCGGAAATGAGATTTTGGATAACTTTTTATAATGCATAAATTGCCATTGGATATAATCAGCTTAGGTGATTTCCAAGTCAACCTAAATACATTTTCGCTTACTTTTGTTGTAAGGAGGAATGCGTAATTTTTAACATTGTTTTTCTTGTCCTTGCTTTTGCTTTTGCTGTAAGACAGCAAGACAAACAAAAGAGTGTGCACAAATGCAGTGTGTGTCTTTGTGTGTGGGCTGCTCAAGGATTCTTGTCACTTTGCTGTATTTACACACACGAAACGCCTCTAACTCAATTAGGCCGCCACATTTATTGTGCAAATATAAAAATTACTTGCGCCGCATGTAAATAAAAAGCAAACACAACAAACAAGAACAGGAAGAACCATCCTTGCCAACGAGCCCAACACAGCCGAATGTGACCGTCTTTATTGCGTCATGTTTGAATGTTGGATATGTGATAATGGAACAAAGTATGAAATAAGGTGTTGAGGCGTTATCGTAATATCCCAGTAATTGATTTTTAAATATCTCATGAGCAACTCCTACATTTGAACGTAAGAAAGGGATGTAACCAAAAAGAACCACAATAACAAATACAAAAATTTGTAGCTGAACTAAATAGTATTACGAACAAATGTTGGGTTAAGGAAAATATTTTGAACAAATTTAAGAATAATAATTAATACAATTACAACTATATAATTATAAATTTAATATTATTTAATATTTAATAATTATTATTACTTCAAAAATATAAAATAATAAAAATTGATTTGTATGAAACCTCACATTTTGAAGCAGCAACCTCTTTGTTTAGTTTTACGATTGACTGCTGAAGGAACTGTTTATAAATAAAACGAGAAAGCATGGATACATTCGGCACGCCGACTATTTAATACCCTTATAGAGATGTGAGAATAGTTATTTGTTGAGTTGAGGAAAATATATTGGAAAACAGAATATTTTGACATAGAACAAATTATTTTATCGATTTATTTTTAATTACAGCCGTATAATATAGGTTTGCGTTCTTGAAATATTTGGCATATAATTAGAAAATTGAGTAAATGCCGCAGTAGCTCCAAATATCTTGATACAAATTAAATATTATTATAAAAAAAAAAAGCATTAAGCCCAAGATTTATTATAAAAAACAAACAGGTTTTTAACTCGCATTCTCTCTTAACCGAACTTTTCATTGGATGAAGGATTGTCCAACTTTTAAGTGGATAACTTTTATAGATTTCATTTGAAATATATAAATTAAATGAATTTAATTTATGCTAAATTTAATTGTGCCATCAAAAATAAGGATACACAGATAGAAACATGGCTCAAACTCACATATCAGAAATGTGAAACAATGTTTAAGGGAGCTCTGACTCCTAAACAAACATAGATTGAAGTCTGTAGACAATGATAGATTCGTGCCGTCATGCGTTTAGCCAGACAGCTGAACATGGCACGAAACCATTTGTGCAGTAGGTATAGAAATTGAACACCCAATCGCAGACTGGGAGATGCGTGTCCAACCCGCCCGGAGTCTGCAAATTTCGCCCGTAACAAACACTCAGGGCCTTTCAACAGTCTCATAATGAACATTTTGGCCAGCTGATCTCGGCGTGGAAAGCGTACCGGCTGTCCAGTCCAACTCACGTGGCAATCAACCAAACGTGAGCTACTCACGTTTCAGCGCCATATGCCGCGTCTCTCTCAAACGCAGCCTTGTGGTCATCGGTTAGGTCGAGAGGCCTGACCGACCACCGGGCAATTAAATGCGAGTGCGTACAGTAAATATTTGTTTGTTTTCCTTTGGCGGCACACAGCCTCCCTCCGCCCTGGTGCCTTATCGCGGCGCGTCTTCATCTGTAATTAAGACTAACACTATCCGGTGCGAGCATATGGCATATAACCAAATGGGCCAAATGGGCCTTCCTGAAAGGCGTAACGCAATTTCGTTATTGATTTTGTTGCGCCTCAGTCGATGTGCTCGCCCGTGTGCTCGTCCACGTAATTAGCTGTAATGCGAGCAGAGAGCCTACGAGTTGGCGTCGTTCATCAAATGGCTTTGTATTCAAGTGTTTATCGGATTGTCCCTTGGGGGGGAAGTGCCACGAGCAGTGCTTGGAATTTCAATCGTGGCTCGGACAGGTCAGAGCACGTCTCAATTGAAGTTAGCTCTTGTAGTTTTTCAATTTCTGCGCAGGATATGTGAAGAGCCTCTGGAGCACCACCAACAGCAACAACAAACAACAAAAAAAAAAATAAAAATAAAAATAAAAGCTGCACTGTACGCCAGTTTATGCCCCCGAGCGGGCCCCTCGCTGCAGCTGCTTCGTGTCCCAAGTGGATAAAGCAAACTGACAGAAACAGGCGACAACATGAACAACAACGACGACGAGGAGGACCACGAGGAGGACGTCTTCAAAACAAAAACTGCCAACTGGAGTGCACCCCCGAGCCTTGTTCTTGTTTCATCTGCGATTTGCAATTGGCTGCTGTCGAATTGGAATTGAAGTGCCGCACTTCAGATTGCCCCAAGCGCCACACAAGAGGCACAACTCGGCGGAGGGGTGTGATAACCACTAGCCTACATACATAAATACATATAGTATCCTAGATGGCGCCTGGTCACACATGTTCCAATGCTACACCCTCAAGTATTCATGTTCAAGTAGAGCTCTCCACGACGACGCTCTGTGACTTAAACGAACAGAGCGGCCATAAAACTTATCGAATTATCGATACTTTTTAATACCAGAGACAACTTTTTTACTATCAAGGAACTTAGTTAGATAAAATCATCCATAATTTACGAAGAAAGTTTGCCGGGCTTTCCTTTTAAGTTTAACTTTATGTATGTGACAATTAGAGTTTATAAATTATTCCAAGTATTTTTAGAAGAGTTTCCCTATAACTCAGGTTCGAAAGTTCTGCATATTTTGAGGACATTTCAGATTCGGATTGCTTTGGGCTGGTAAAAAGTAAGGTTAAAGCGGGTTAAGTAGGTTCTTCCATAGGATATTATCCCTTTGTCTCATCGTTTTGTTTTTGTTCAAGTTCCCTAAATGAAAAACATAAGAATTGTATTTGTTGACCCATATTGAACTCATTATTTAAGGTATTTTAGGCCTAATAAAACCATCGATCAATATGAGAATATGGAATTGTCTTGATTCAGCAAACAGCGCTCAGCCCACACTCGTGCTCGACTCAATTAAGTTATGGGGCCCTTTGTGAACTGCAACAGCTAGCGAATGGACCCTGGTCGACCCTAGCTATAAATCAATCATGCTGCATTACCTTCCAGAAGGGGTTAACGACTTTGCAGCAAAGCTGACGATTGACTGCCCAATAGACTCAAGTTTACTAAAGGTTTTATCACAGCTGATATTATACAAACACCAAGTGGGGGCTGTCCGTTCTTATCGAAATCCTGCCACCACCCCCCTCACGAACACACACACAAGCATGGACGGGGGGCCAACAGTGCACACGTGCCGGTACGGGCAGATACCTAACGGTTATCAGAGCGCCAGGGCATCATTAACACAGATGGGAACCATTGATAAGTCGTCGTCATCGGGCTGCCAGCTGTGGCTAAATAAACAGCAGCGCTTCGAATGGGTGTGGAAGGCATATTGACGGGCATATAGGGTATTCAAGTATGTATGTGTGTGTGTGTGTGCGTGTGTGTGTGTATTTATATGGTATACAATTGCCCATGGGTCGCATACCTTTGGCTTAGTGGCTTTATCATTGAGTCGTCCGAGCAGCCAGCACACGTGTGCTAATTTTCGGTCTTAGCTTCCAAATGTTAGTTACTGCGACTCCGACTCCGACTGTGGGAAGCCAAACAAATGTTTCTTTGAAATTCGACGGAACGCTGAAAGCAGCGAAAGGAACTAAAGTTGAAGCTGAAAACTGAAAGGACTTAACAGAAATAAACTTGGCCAAGATGCACTTCTTTAGCTAAATAAAAAACAAAGAAGCAAGGAGCGATGGTATAGGTATCTGTGTAGATATAGGTATGGGCATAGTTCCATCTATAGGTATAGGTATCAAGAGCTTTTTCAGATGGAATAAATATTAAATATTTTCGCATTTATATGTTCTTCAGATACAACTATATAAATTATATATAATTTTTTTAGAAAAAGTTATTTTTGTGTAAATATATAATAAAAAATATAAACAAGTAAGAGGTTCTAGTCGGGAGCTCCCGACTAGGGGATATCCTGAACGCTCTTCTTCCAACATCAAATGCATAAATATATATTCTATTTTAGAAGCTATATGTCAAGTTTGGTGACTCTAGCTTTTATTATTTACCAAAATTGCCCAAAAAACAGGATATCGATATCGATTTTTATCGATTGCTTAGAAACGGGGTAAGTTATCCATTATCGGAAACAAACTCGATGTGCGCAGGCACTAGGAGCACATACATCTAATTTCAAGTCTCTAGCTCTTAAAGGTTCTGAGATCCTTGCGTTCATACATGCGGACGGACGGACAGACAGACGGGCATGGCTAGATCGACTCGGCAATTGATGCTGATGAAGAATATATATACTTTATGGGGTC